CTAGTGTGTGAGATGAGTGCAATTGTGCGGTAGTTTGAGCATTCTTTGGGATTGCCTTTCTTAGGAATTGGAATGAAAACTGACCTTTTCCAGTCCTGTGGCCACTGCTGAGTTTTCCAAATTTGCTGGCATATTGAGTGCAGCACTTTCACAGCATCATCTTTTAGGATTTGATATAGCTCAACTGAAATTGCATCACGTCCACTAGCTTTGTTCGTAGTGATGCTTTCTAAGGCCCACTTGACCTCACATTCCAGGATGTTTGGCTCTAGGTTAGTGATCACACCATTGTGATTATCTGGGTCGTGAAGATCTTTTTTGTGCAGTTCTTCTGTGTATTCTTGCCACCTCTTTTTAATATCTTCTGCTTCTGTTAGGTCCATACCATTTCTGTCCTTTATCGAACCCATCTTTGCATGAAATGTTCCCTTGGTATCTCTAATTTTCTTGAAGAGATTAATAACTTGCTCTTAGTCAAATTTCCAGCCCACATGCAAGCAGTACAGACAGAGGCCAGAGGGGTTGGGAGATGGACCTTAATAATCTGGGAGCAGAAGCAATTAGACCCAAGTCCTAGGAAAAAGACGGGAGGGCATGGAACCACAGGCAGTCCTGGGTGCTCTGGCTCATTTCTGTGTTGTCCTCAAGTTCAACACATGAAAAACACCTGGTGGTGAGAACACTTTCCTATTTCAGTGGCTGAACCCTCTCTGTATAACCATCCCAAGAGATCTGCCTTATGTCTGATTGCATTTTACTATGAAGAAGGCTAAAGCTACGCCCCCAAATTTTTAAATATAGCATTGGTATTCCAGAATCTGGAGTTGTAAAAGTTGAACTCTTCAATGGAAAAACCAAAACTTAGATTCAACTTTTAAATTAGAGGACTCTTCCAGAAAGGTAGCAATTTCAAATGAGATTCTTTATAGCAATTATTACTAATTATTTAAAGTCACTTAAATTTTTAAAAAGTCACTTACATTCAGACAATAAATGGAGAATGCATAATATTAAGTAATGAGAAGCCACACACACAAAAATATTCTGCTCACATTTATTTCAGCTCAAAAAAAACAATCCTCAAAAAAAGTGTCTTGCCTGTCAAGATTTTAATGAATCTTTAAAATCATCAAGTTAAAAATTTCACCTCTCCTAGGAAGCCTTCTTCAGAAGAAAGTACTATTTCATCCCTAGAAACTCCATCAGTATTTCATCTTACCTTTCACTTACTTATGATAGTATATGTGAGGTCTTATCATCCCTAGATGGATAATAGACTCTTTGAGGGTGTGAAGTGTCTAGTTCACTTTTGATTTCCTCATATGCTTAATGTGCTGTCCAGTGAACACTATGCATCTGATTGATAAACGGATAAACCTGGTCCTGGAATAAGGCTGCAAACAGGTTAATGTTGTTGGAATATCATTCACTTGCTTGCATCTGAAGTGTACCAACAAAGGTCTGTATAGTCAAATCTATGATTTTTCCAGTAGTCATGTATGGATGTGAGAGACCATAAAGAAGGCTGAGCACTGAAGAAAATTGATGCTTTTGATCTGTGGTGTTGGAGAAGACTCTTGAGAATTCCCTGGACTGCAGGACTGCAAGGAGATCAAACCAGTCAATGCTAAAGGAAATGAATCCTGAATATTCATCAGAAGGACTGACGCTGAAGGAGCTGAAGTTCCAATACTTTGGCCACCTGATGTGAAGAGCTGACTCATTAGAAAAGGCCCTGATGCTGGGGAAGATTGAAGGCAGGAGGAGAAGGGGACGACAGAGGACGAGATGGTTGGATGGCATCACTGAGTCAACGGACATGAGTTTGACCAAGCTCCGGGAGACAGAGAAGGACAGGGAAGCCTGGCATGCCACACTCCACGGGGTTGCAAAGAGTCAGACACGACTGAGCAACTGAACAGAAACAACAATATCTCTGGGCCAAATGACTCTTTACAAGTCAAACACAGCACAATCACACTTGAGAAAGAAGGTGTCATGGTTAAAGGAAAATCTAAGGCTCGAAATTCTCTGAAAAGTACTCCAAAGAAATCAAGCTTCTTTGATTTGCTTAAGACTCCCAGGCAGCATGCAGAGTGCTAATACCGAGATGTGCTAGACCATCATGCACATTCAATTGTGCAAAATGTGAATGCCAAGAGGGATTAGATGTTACTTCATACTTAACAAAACTGGAAAAAAAAAATGGAATGAGATCATGCCTGTAGTTTAAAAGATAACAAGGATTAAATTTCAAAAAATGTTTCAGGGATTCATGTTAGAACTAGATTTCTCCTGAACTGAGACACAGTATACACCCAACAATAAGCATGTGTGGAGGGCAGGGGATCAGATTTGGTTTGTTGACTCTTAAGAAAAATAAGCCAAACAGGGTTCACATTTATTACTACAAAACATCATCTTTTCCCCCTCACTTCATCTTCTACCTGGGCTCAGGACATGAAATTCTTACCAGATTGGAAGAGGCAGGTCTAAAGAATTTAAGAAAGTGAAGGTTCTCCTTGACAGAGGGAGACAGCGCTGAAGACAACACCTTTTCTGGCTCAACCTCCCAATCCTTCCCCTTCAGTTTCCTTATCTTTCACCACTCTGAAGTCATGAGGCTGAAATCTGAGAGCCAGCATCCAGCCAGTGGTTCTCAGTAGAGGCGGTA